AACTGCCACAGAATGACCAAAGAGCTGCTGCAGAGGTACCAAAGAGCCGCCAAAGAGGTACCAAAGAGCTGCTCTAGAGGGACCAAAGAACTGCCGCAGAAGAACCAAAGAACCACAGGTTGCAGACCCATGTGGTTCATCACTGAGTTTACGGGCTGCTGCATGTGCTTCTAAAAGTATATTTCTAAATTGAAGTCATCAGATTTGTTTTTCCCTCGTGATCTCCACTTATTTTGGCCTCTGCATCTTTCCACTGTTGCCGAGGTAACACTCCAAACTTTGCTCTAAATGTACATGTGTGTGTGTTTCTATTATTCATTTTGTACTGAACTCATTACCACAGTTACAACTCCACCTCCTCCCACTCTCTCTCCAGCTGACCCACAACCGTTTACCGTCTTCTCCCGGACCAATCAAAGTCCTCAGCACCCTCCCCATTTTCTCTGCCATTCTCTCTTCTCTTTGCTAAACTTTGCTGTGTGCTGACAGAGCTGTCAGTCACTCCATTTATCTAATTTTTTACCCACCCCCCCTTTTTTTTGTTAACCATTTCTCCTATTTGTGGCCTTTAACTTCCACAGTCCTTCAAGGCTCTGTTTCCAAACAAGTAGACAAGTAGATACTTAACAATTAATTTGCAGGTGCCAGACTCTTTGTAGTATACATCATTATAATGTATATGATTCTGTCTTCAAACACTTATGCTAACCTTTAATCAGGCCTTCAAACCATCTGAACGTTTCTTTTCATTTCCTTCAAAAAAACACAATTTGCCATTCACTCCCTTTCATACTAAATAAATCTGCTTCACTACCAAACAGCTTTAGAAAAGATATATTAAAATAAGTATTTGAAATTTTTTGAAGTGGGGTTCTGTAGAAAATTCTGAGCAGGTAATATCTTACCTGTCAAAACCATCATTTTTTTTAAACAGTTACACATAATTCTGTTTATTTAGCCAGCACAAATTATGGTTGCAACAGCTAGCTCGTTAGCATTACCACATAGTGATATTATAGCATTGTAAAATTTTATAAAAATAACAATGAACTGCTATAATGTTTTTGAGATTGTTGTAATGCTGAGATGGCAGTAATCCGTGTTTGTATTATTCCAGCTTAGACTACCTGTTAGCTCTGATCAAGCTTAAACTGTTTCTCCAAACTAAGGTCATTCAAAGAGCTATCTTA